TGTAGTTGTCCAAGGAAGCACCGTGCAGGATCGTTCTACCCACTGATCCCCCTCATTTCCACTGTTATGAGTCATGTCCCCATCATCTCCAACTCTGTGAGATGTGAGACTTTACCAAGCGCTAAGTGAAGTAGGACTTCCTTGCGTTGAATGAAAATATCCTTCACTTAAATTTCCACAGACTGCTTCCTTGTCCCGGCATTCGGGTTTTCTGGTGAATGTAGCCTCACTGCACGATTTTATGGATTTCAAGCCTGCCCTTACTATCCGTATTGTAATCTCCATTCTGGTTGACTGCCAGAGACAACAGTTCAGTTTAGTTATTTCAAAGTTTAATTTTCCTTCTAGCTTTGAATTTTCTGGCTGGAAAGTTATTGGGAGCATAAAGCTCTGGGGCACTTGAAGCTTCTAAGTCTCTACAGTCAAGTTACTTTGTGTAGTTTGGAATCAGAGGGGCTGTTCTCTCTCAAAGAAGTCCTGTATGAATTCTTATAAATCTACTTAAGTCCTTGCTTACAGTTGCAAGAAAATTATATCCTCCAACTTAAATAAGTGGACTGTGTATTGAAACTATTTAGAATGTAATTGTATGCTTTCCTCTTAATAAATCTAAACTTATGTTGGAACAGCAATGATATATGAGGCACTTAAAGCTGACTGTTAATACCACTTCCTGCATATTATTTTCAAATAAATACATGTTCATTTGCTAAGTGGATATTCTGCTTCATCAGCAAAGGATGCAACACGGATAGCAAAAGTCATTAGCATAATACAAATGCTTGCAAAACAACTTTGGAATGCCTAAACTAAAAACGTACACTACCAAGGACTTGGAAAGAATTTCAAGCTCCAAGGCCAAAGAATCTACTGCATATTAATCTTCTTTATCAAAAAGTTGATTTGGAGCACTAAAGACAGAAATAAGCCTATTGTGCAATAGCAAAAAAAAAATCTTGGGAGATAGCATGGTATGGTGGAAAGATGCTCTGCTGGGGAGCAGGGGATCCAGTGGTCCTAATTTTGTCACCGATTAGCTTTGAAATCTTTAGCCAGGCATTTCAGCCCTATAAACATGCATTTCCGCATCTGTAAAAGGAGGGGTTGACGTATGTTTTCCCAGGGTTTTTTCCTAACAAACAGAATCTCAGATTTTATGACCTAATCAAGGTGGCAGAGTCCAGAGAAAGAGTTTGAAAAACTCCTTACAAAGTTAGAACTGAAGTTCTGCCTCCCAAGACTTTTAATTCTCTTAAGTGAAAGCATGCATGCATATTCACCCAGCTGTCACCCTTGAAGAGAGCAGCGCCAATATGCTCTAACATATGAAGCCCAAAATGCGATTGTTAAAAACTCCTATGCACAATTAGAGAATGGGCGATTGTTCTCCTCTGCTTTCACCACCTCACCTATGAACTCAGTTCTGAAAGCTTTGCTTTAAGTATCTCCCTAATGTTAACATTATGAAAATATGGGGGGAGGGAGATTTTAGAAGACAGATTGTCTGCATTTAAGATGAGGAATCTATGGGGTATGAAGGGAATTTATGATTGTTTCCCTCAATTTTTCCTGACACGTATTTTGAAATTTTTTTCTCTTTTTTTTCCTACTGTCACTGTTGGGATACAAACGCATTCCTTTCTGTACACGTTCTGCAGTGTCATCATGCCTTTGGCGCACGTGCTGAGAGACTAAGTCGAGAGTTCTCCTGAGGAGTTGGTAGGGACTGATGCATTCAAGCAATGAAGAGATGGTGGGCAACAGGGACCAGAGACCTTAGATCCCTTAGCAAATCCTGGCTCTGTAAAGCACACTGTTAGATTTATGCACAGCCACGCAATTTCTAGGAATTAACGTCAGGGACTATAAAACTGACTCTTTAGGTATATTTACATTTTACTTTTATTCACTTAGCCTACTGTATGCTTAAGTAACACACTGCAATGCAGCCTGATGTATACACAGTTCACTGTTTTTAAGGTACTAACCTATTACCCACCTATGATTTATAATATGTTCAATTAAAAAATGAAACAAAATTCCAAGTGCCTTTTACACTTGTAATTACACAAAATCACATTGTACTTTTAGGTGGAAAGCTGCGAATACATGTGCCTGGAGCATTAAGTTCTACTATTTAAAAAAAGAACTTCTGCTATATAATCATGCATTAAGAGGAAAATATACCTATGTTTAAAATCTATCATAATAAATCACTATGAGATGATAATTTACAAGGACTATAGAGCTATATGGACTTGAGGAAAAAATCAGTTCAAAGACACACTACAATAATTGAAAATACAGAAGTGATACAAAACTTTAATGCTCTCTTTTCTAACATTTTCTAAATGACGATTAAACTTTGTAACTCTATCACTTTTTCTGCTTCCTGTCCTCAACAAGTCAATTTTTCAAATACAGTAGGACTCGTAGCCCTCGTTTTTGTCTCCCAGGCAAGATGCTATTTGGGGTCACTTCCCACGTACGGAGAAAACAATCTTCATGGATAATAATGATAAAACCTTATGGAATGCAAAAACAACCAAAATATGTATTCTCAGATGACTACGTTGGGGCCAAGTCAATATTAGTCCCACTTCACCCACGCACCACATAGTCTAAAAATGCTGTCAGCCTGATAAGAATTTCCTGATTTACTCTGTTTTCCAACAGAAAATATAGGTCATCAAAATAAACCCCGGACAGTAAAAGAACAGGAGTTACACTACTGTCTTTTTATTCTGCTAGCCAGTTATATAGTCAAATAGTTGCTTTACCTGACAAAAAAGTAATCTCGAACAAGCCAGTGTAGTAAAAGCAACATGAAAATTTCAAGCCCACTTCTCAACTAAGTTCTTAAGTTCAACTCAGCCTAACATCTACTTAAACAATATCTACAGAAGCTCAAAGGATAGCAGAAATTGATCACTATTTACAAATAGGTGCCACTCATCGAGGTAGACAATTTAGGTGAAAAAGAAAGCTCATTTTTTGGTTTGTTGATGGTCTTAGCAAAAGAATGCGATTTGGCAACTGAGTTTCGGGGCAATTGCAAAAGTTAGGTAAGGTATTGGAGTAATTTTTTTTGAAAGCTAAATTTCAAGATTAGTTATTTATAATTTTTCTGATACCGAATTTTATTTTCTAGCTCAAAAAACTATTCCAATTCTAACCCCCACTAGCGATTTGTATTTTAATGGAACTATTTTCACAACTCTGGAAAATAAAACCTTATTCACAACTATTCTGCTAAAGTTATTTTTGAAGGGGAAAAATACCTTTCTGAATGTTTAGTAAAGTTTGAGGCTGTTGCTCGTCCACATTCCAATTGATAATTTAAGGCCTCTACAGTCTCTGAGATGGAAGAAAGTAAAGAAGAAAAGGGTGGTTCATCTGGGACACAGTGTTCATAAAACACAGAAAATTGATATCCTGCATCTCTTTGCATCACTTGCCTGACTTGGACTTAAATGGTTTCCTCCATTACTTATATCTTTTATATTAAAACCAAAGAAAAAGAGCATAACCAAAATAAAATGTTTTAACCTGTCACCCTTGATCACAAATTACAAAATGTTTTCCCATCCCCCTCCCTAAAAGTAATCTTGCTTTGAAATGCTGAAGATGATGAAGAAAAAAAAAAAAAAAGAAGATAGCTAGAAAGTGGGACTCCTTCATCTTTTGCCCTAGTTGTCCTGGTTAAGCTCATACTGTTCAGCAGATAAATCTAGAGTACGTACTCTTCCAGAATCAGCTGAATTTCATTCCCTAAATTCTAAACAGAAGTTATAGTTTCTTTCCAAAGAGTAGCACAATAAATCTAGTAAAGAGACAGGGGTAGAGGAAATAAATTAAGTGGCCAAATTAATTAAAGAGCCAAACCCTGAAGACCACAATGAAATATATGTTTTTTAAGAAACTAAAAAAAAAAAAATGTCAATCAATAAATTCTGTGGATGTTAGTTTCGGAACCATATCTAGATCCCTGATAGGTGTCCCTACCTCAGAGTATGTATATTTTTTTAAGTCTCACTAAATCAACCCACCCTAATTCCCAGAGTCTCAGGACCCTGTTTTGGTACAAGCCCCTGGCCACATGCTCACATATGTGTTTTATGTAGCGCTAACTAAGCCTTGACACACTGCGGGCGAACAGGGAGGAACGTCCAGGGGTACCTAGTGCTTAATTCCCCAGAACCCCACTCTCCCTTCTAAAGGAACTTTATCATCTCCCTAGTTCCTGAATCCTTTCTATCCAACAGCATTCAGTCACTCTTGGCATGGTGGAGACCCAGCATCCAGCGACCCAAGGTTACCTCTTAGCTGGCAAAGGAAAGGGTTCTTCTGTCCAACAGACTGAACCATAACATCTCTGTGCTTTGATGGAATTAAAAATGAATGAGGAATTTGGGGAATAATCCCTGTCACCTAAGTATGGAAGATGACAGACTTTGCAGAGAACTTCTAGTAACATTGGACAGATATTACACGTGACCCATGTTCCACCATAAAAGTTCCAGAAAAGTCATTCCATGGGCTCACTGTCCAGGTAGCCTCCCCTATGTCAGTGACACATTTCATCCTCCTAATCAAGAAAACCCTGAAACACTCCACCGTTTCAAAGGAAACAAAATATTTGGTTTAAAGGAAGTTTACTCACATACTCCTAAGACAGATGCCCTTGGTGAGCTTCAGAGAACTGAGCCCTAAGAGCTAAGGTGGCTATGAGGAATAGCTTCTGAGCCGGTGACAAGAGCTCACTGAAGCCCACAGCCAGGTAATGCCTCGCTTGGAATCCCCACCCGTCCACCTGGCAGCTCGTCCTTCCCGAAGCCTCGTCTCTTCTCTTCTGATGGCTTTCTGTTCAAGGGCGCTCCCGCAAGTCTCAGAGCATCCTCCGCGCCACCCGTCCCAGAGGGACGTCTTGGGAGCCCCAGACCGATACTCTCGCTGCCCCTCGCCCCCGCCCCCGGCAGGCTGCCCGGTCGGTGACTCACCTGCTGGCCAGGTTGGGGCGCCGGGTGGTAATAGGCTGTGGGGCAGGTTGCAGCTGCCACGGGGTTGGGCAGATACTGGGGCGCTCCATACGGCTGGGGGTGATACATCACCTCCGCACAACTCATGGCAGCCGGGGCAGCGGCGGCCCCGGAGCTGCGGCCGCTGCTCTACGCGCTCGTGCGACAGGCGCCGCCGCAGCTGCCGCCTCTGTCGCAGCCCCAGCTGCTACTGTGGTGAAGGCGGGTCCTCGGCGGCCGTGGGCTCCGCGCGGGGCGCGGGCTCGGGAGGGGTTGGCAATCGGCGGTGGCCCATGCGCGGGCACCCTCATCTTCAGCCCCTCCGGGTGTCCCCTGGCCTGCGCTTATATAGCGACTCGGGGACGCATCGGCCCGCCGCGCGGCGGGAG